TTCGTAAAGCTTTCTGTTACCATATTTTGCAAGGACTTAACTCAGGAGACAGCAGTTACTACAATTTTTTTTATTATTATTGTTTTGAATAAACCACATAATTTCCTCAAAAAAAAAATAATAAAAAAAAATAAAAAATAAACCACATAAGAGTTGAGGCCATAAGACATCACTTTTTAACACAGTTACTTAGGTTGTATCTTGGCACATATTTGGACTTATCACATTTTGCTAGCTTTAATAAGTAGATGATTTTCAGCTTTACAAAGAACTGAAGAAGAAATATGACATCTAAGTACTAAATGTTGATTTTTCATATAATTCCAAACATTTTGGTAACTAATGTTATTTGTAAAAACAAAACATAGCGGTTTCTTTCTTCCTACTTTCTGTTGCTTTTAATTTTGCACTGACAAGGTTAATAAAACCACAGGTATCAAATAGGGCCATAGGGGGACCATTGTCTTGTCAATTTCTGTTGAGAACAACTATTAATGATGTGAAGTTCAGATTTCAGATTTGGGCAGAGGCCATTCCATTTTAAGGTCAGTATTCAACACCCCTTTCTCTTCCTCTGGATATTCTTCAATTTATCTGTTTTCTTTTTTTCCTTTATGAAAATTTACAGAGGAGGCAGATGGTAATAATTTAACAGTAGATTGTTCATGACTGGGTAAGAGTATCAATTTCCTTTTCCCCTTTCTTCAATTTTACAGCTCCTCTTTCTTTTATCTCCTAGTCTAACTTTACTAATTAAGAGAAACTCTTATTAAGCAAAGGCTCTCATTTTTTTCCCACCTTTTTTAACATTATCTTCATCATTTCGTGCTACACTGGTAAATTTAAAAAACCTCAACCAGGCATTCAGGATGAGATAATATGCGCATAATTACGGCAGCAAAAACAAAAAATCTCGAAAACCTGTAAGTGAAAAGAGTAGGCAACGGGCAGTGCTGAATTAACGTCGAGATATCGGGACGATGATTGAAGCTCTTCAAGCTATCCAATCGAATTTCCACGAGATCAGCTCCGCTCGCCTTCGCCTTCGGCATTAGATTCAGCATCTGATCCACGGTGTCCGCCATTATCGGCGCACAAATGAGAGTCGGGTTCTTCCTCGCCCCCTCCATCCTCCTAACACCGGAATCCACAACCTTCATTGTTTTTCCATCGCAGTTAGAAAAAAACATAAACAACTCAACAATGTCTTAATCTATCGAGAAAGTTAGGTAAAACAAAGCTTCAAAAATAATAAAACAAAATCATCAATTCTCTAATTTAAGCAACCAGCAACCAACAACCAATTCAACAAAAACAATTCTATCAAAAATGAAAGAGACTAGAGGAAACCAGGCGGCTGTGGACTTACCAACTCCATTTTTACGCGGAGTCAGAGAGAGAGAGAGTGCAGAGATGACGCCTTCTACTAGTCCCGAGCAAAATGCATATATATATATATATATATATATAGTATATATTATATATATGTGTGTGTATATATATATGTCAGGTGGGGGGTGGGGGGGGGGGGGGGGGTAGATGCGGTGCGGGAGTTTATATTGCGAAAGTGGGTAGGAATGAGAGAGAGTTTCAGTAGGTGGGAGTCAGCGTTGGCCGTTGGGTTGGTAAAGAGACGACGTTTTGGACTTCACTTTTTTTTATTTTAATTTTTTTTTATTAATATTGACGAGGATGATGATGAATCCTGACCGCTCACTTTTTAAATTTCCGACGTGGAATTTTGGCTGCTACTTTGACATAAATTATTCGAAAAAATGTCAAAATGAGTTTGACTCTTACTCACTGAAAAAAAAATTATCCGCGTTTAATTCGAGAATGTATTCCCACATAATTTCGAAGACAAGTAAATTCCTACGTTTTGTTTGAAGGAATTTCAATTTCGCTCATTTTCATGGAATTAGAATCTCCCCCCTTGTTATTTCAATTCCATGGCTTTTAGAAATAAAACAAAATAAGTTTGAGACAAAATTACACATATTTTTTTAACCTAAAATTGATGTTTGACCGCTCTCTTTCGATTATAGTGTGTCGTCTTCTTCCACTCTTAACACAGAACGTCAATCAATAGGCCAACCTCAATCAAATACATTTCTTCAAAACTCCTTTACCTATTTTATTGCTTTTGTTACGCACTTTTAAAGTTTATTTACAGCCGATTACATAAATTTTCAAAATAAAAATTTGAATTTTGTCATTAATAATTAATAATAATAATAATAATAATAATAATAATAATAATAATAATAATAATAATAATAATAATGACACTTAGACGTTATACTACTTTATTTCTTTTCAGTTTTCATGTATACCAAACATTGAAATTGAAATTCTCAGTAATTCTATCCATGCAAACCAAACACTGAAATTTAAATGACTACTTTATTATACATTATTCATCTCATATGAAATTGCAATTCTTTTCCCACATAATCCCCTCCCTCCAACCAAACGCCACGTTAATTCATAACTCTTTAAGAGCATCTTCAATAGTCTTTAGTTTTTAGTGATTTTTGATGTGCTAATTAGGAGAGAGAAAAAACTGACAAAATTTAAAAAATAAAAATAAAGGGAACAACAATGGTTTTCTTCAGGTGGGTTGGCAGAGCATATGTGTGATTTACAGAAGGTCGAGGGTTCGGAATTGTTTGTTTGCTATTATTCAAATCATTTTATCAAAATAACTATTTTCCATATTTTGTTTTGAATATTTTTTATAAAGCTTTGATATATTTTATATTTTTTTACCCATATTCAACAATTATCATTTTTTATATATTAATAATGAAATGTGTCATTTATAATGTAATTGTGTCCAATATTTCGTTATAAATATCTTTTATAAAGCTTTGATATATTTTATTTTTTGTCATAGCCAACAATTATATATATATATATATATATATATATATATATATATATATATATATATATATATATATATATATAAAATATGAAACGTGTGATTTATAATGCGTTTTCTATTCGAATTATTTTATCAAAATCATTATGTTTCATATTTAAAAAAAAAATTGATTTATTTTTATTTTTGATATATATCCAACAATATTTATGACGCAAATTATGCCGTGGAAACGTGTTCACCATGCGCATGGTGAATACATGGGTAGATCCATAATTTCTATATTGTAGATTCATAATTTTTTTTTCATTTGTTGTTACAGATATTATGAATCTACAGTATAGAAATTATGAATCTACAGTATAGAAATTATGAATCTACATATAAATGTTATGAATCTACAGCATAGAAATTATGAATCTACAGTATAGAAATTATGAATCTACAGCTTATAAATTATGGATCTATCCCGTTAACAACAAATGAAAAACAAAATTATGAATCAACATTTTCAAAAAAAAATTATGAAACTACAGTATAGAAATTATAGATCTACCACTATATTCACCATGCGCATGGTGAACACATTTCTACCATAACTCTTGTATTTATGATTATACTTCTTTTAAGTGTTTTATTTTTTCAAATTATCTTTTTTATTTTAATATTTGTCCCTACTCAAAAATTAGTCCGTTACTATGCAAGAGAACATAAATTCATTAAAAGCACTGGGCCAGTGGGTGCCTTGAAATCCAACCATGGCCTGAGAAAATTAGGTGGGAAATCCCTCTCCACGTTTTCTATCCCTTTGCCATCAGAATTACTTCTTTGTAGATGACATTGCTTGCTGGGCTGTTAGCCACTTAGCCACCACCCTCCTCTATAAATGGGAACTCTTTTATGCACATTCACCTAAAAACAGTAATTGAGTATGTAAAATATGATTATTGTATCAAAATTTTTTAATGCAATTTATTTCTCCGATGTAATTTACAAATTATTATGCAGAAATTAAATGAAATTTACCAAATCGGTCTGTCAAATTACTACATGAGCATAAGTCATGCATTTATGCTCAGTGGGTCATTGCTTATTTACGAATCGTCTCCTACAATTCTAGTTTTTTTTTTTTTTTTTAAATTTAAAAAATAATTTTAATTAACAGTTTTTTTTTTTTTTTTTTTTTTTTGGGTGTAAAAGAACTCCATTAAGCCATCCAAGGGTGTTTCTAGTTTTTTTTTTTTTTTTTTTTTTTTTGAAAATAATTCTAATTAACAGTTTTTGTTTTTTTTGGGTGTAAAAGAACTTCATTAAGCCATCTAAGGGTGTTAGTAGTTTCCACATGAGAATCAAATATGAAGTACTAAGGTAATAGTAATGAATTTTGGTGAAAGTATTTTATATATTTGGTAATAGAATGCAATTGAAATGATGACCAATATTAATGTTTGGTTATATATAATAATCATATAATAGAAATAAAGATTTTAAAAATATAAAAATTAAAACAATTGATTATGTAATATAATGACATTCAAAGCACTACTATGAACAAAGAAAAAAATCAAAATAAAAATTAAAAACAGAAATCCAAACTTAAAAATCAAATTACCAATAAGATGACATGATACTCATTTTAATTAGAGAGTGAGACTCTTAATTAAACTATATACGGAGTATTTGTGTTTTAAAAAATTGTCAACCAAACACTAACTATAATCTTAATTTTCATTCTTAGCACAATCTAACCTCTGTGGTTCATGTTCAATTGAGTTACCATAATTTACATCCTCCCAAATGCTCTGTCGGGTCGGGGTGTAAGGGGCCCTTTAGGGTTGGGGTTCAGCATTTTGGAAGAATGAATTTTCATTCTTGGTGTATAAATCCATGAACAAAGACACCCTAAATTGAGGTCGAATAACTCAAACATGAGTCAAGTCAAGCTCAAATTCAAAATATTAAAGCTTAGTTAAATTCAAACCTAACTTGAACTTGGAGTTTTAAAATCAAGTTTCGAGTTAGGACTATTCGACTTAATTAAGAAGTGCCATTAGCACTCTAAACCCTGACAACATAATTGGAGAATAAATTTTGGAAGTCACAAAAGGCACCAAAGTCTCACAAACCAACTTAATTTTCAGGTAGTAATTAGGCAAAATGAAGTGCCATAATAAACAGTCATACATATCAAAGTTTCTATCCCCCATAAGAGTTGGTCAAGGAGTGAAGTTCAAAAACACAGAAAAAGCACTGGGCAAAATGAATCCTTTATTCAAGCTTTTTCCTCTCTGCCATGGCTGAATTCATAAGCAAATAACTCTCTTAACCCTGCAGGCCAATGATACCTGCACAAAATGGCAATGAAGGTAGTTTAAAAGAAGTGATTAAGAATGGAACGCGAACTTACATGAAATCCTGAATTGGTATATACTAAAATTGGGGCAACCCCAACCAACTTGTTAAGACAGTTGACTTGGTTAACCATAAGATTCCAAGTTCAACTCGTCGTGGGAGCTATCTATTGGCCTTTTTGGTTTGAGTCGGTCAGCTATGGGCAACCTAGGTTGATTTACTTTCTTGTGACCATTTGCTGGCTAGGGTCACAAAGCAGGCTTCACTAGAGTGCACCTTCAAGGCAATAGCTGCATGCTTTCCCACAAATCAAAGGTATATACTAGCATATACATCACACTTCAAAAAAATCTTATGCTTAGGAGAGTTGCCCTTGGATGAGGCTCGGTTGTATTAGTATCATCCCGCAAAAATTATTTTAGGGAGAGTTAGCGGTGAATGCACTATGCAAAAAAGAGAAATTCTTCACCATGTGCTAGTGCGACAAATTTGAGGCATGGACATCTATGTTAAGGAATTAAGCAATATAGTTTAGATTTTAAATCCACTGCCAGCAGTTAATGTTAAGCTGATAACAGAAGGGCTACTCCAAGTTTAAGCACATAACAATGAACAATGCAACAAAATAAGAAAAGAATGATACTTAGACTGTTAGACATAGACCTGATTGCAAAGGGCTTTAGGGTGTAGTTCAATTGATGCTAAACTACACCCAGTTTTCAAGCAGGAGAGGGCTTGGTTCAAATCCCACATCCCCTGTCTCATTAAATTTATTTTTAAAAGAAATTCCAAAAAGTGCAGCATAAAATTTGGGAATGCTTACCGCAGGCAACCCTCCCACCAGCATTTCCAGTGGTTTTGCTGAGTTCATGGCCACCTAAAGCAACAAGAACAAATAATTACATACAGCTCCAAGCTTACATGACAAAACAAATACATATCAAAATTCAAAACCACTCCTTGTTGACAAAAAAGAGCACCAAAATGATAGAAATGGAGAAAGAAAATGTTTTAATTCTCTCTACAGATTTAATTAGAGTGGATTGTTCCATCCCACTATTTAATAGTCACCAACCAGCCTGTTTGCAACCAATAGTTCTGTGGTTTCTATAAATTTGTAGTGATGTTTAAACCATATTCTAATAATCTAAAGTGATTGAAATGCTAGCATGGTCTGGACAACGTTGTGTGGAATCATTACACTCATCAACTATTACCGCAAAATACTTGAAGCGAGATAAAAGAGAATCTTAGTATAAGATATATAATAATAATTAAAAACAAACACATAACATAACATGGTGAATGAGGGTTGGGGAAGCTAACCTTTGCCAAGATCATCAGGATCACCATGAACAACAACAGCTCTTCCAATAATAGAATTTGCTCCAGTAAGCGGAATCTGAACAATTTTAATAACATTTAAGAGATGTGCAAACAACAATAAATTCAAAGCACGTTTAATTTTAGCATAATTTAGCTCCAGCTAAAACAAGGTGGTTCACCTGTTTGTCAGTGATAGTGAATGTAGCAGTACCTGAAACATGATGATATAATTGTCAGAAATAAAGTAGACACTGAAAACTTTGAACACATAGAATTTGTGAAGTGAAGACTCAAAAGAGAATTATAGTATGTTAACAAACACCGAATAGCAATTCCCTACAGGGGGAAAAAGGTAAAAAAGGCATAACAGGTATCTTCATTGCCACTATTTTTTGAAGAAGTGCCAAATCATATTAAACAGGGATGGAAATTTCTTTTATAGCTAACAGGGCACAGAACTTAAGTTTTAAAAGCTCATAGACTCAAAACAGTCACCTTCAGAGATTACATATACTCAACATGTGCAAAACCTCCTAGGCAAAAGGTCATAGTTTGCAACAAGTTGATGTGATAAATTATGGGATGACTAAATGATATATCAACAATTAAAGAAAGACATTTTACCATCTTCTCCAACCGTGATGTTTCCAAGATCACCGGCATGGCGGATATCGTCTTCAGGAGCTCCATGCTCCTTTCCAGCAGGATTGAAATGTGGTCCTGCATATACATATGATTTGACGCGTTACAAAAAATAACTGAACACAAATAACCTAACAACCAATTCATTATTGGCCACCAGTCTTTCAGTTAGTTAATTACCAGTAGACATGCATCCATTTGTTGTGTCACCTAGGGCATGGACATGGAATCCATGATGACCAGGTTTGAGGCCCGAAACATTTCCAGTGACTGTGGTTGGACCTAAGACATATAGAAAACAAAACTATTCAAAGTTCAACAAAAGACCAGATATATGCACCATTTAAAAAATCAAAATCAGGGTTACCATCTCCTTCTTGGGTGAAGAAAATGGTGCCGCTGACACCTTCACTGCTGCTAAGAACTGCCACACCCTTCACCATTTTTGTTTGTGATCTAAAGAGTTAAGATAACAAGAATCTATTACCAAGTAAACATGAATAAAAGGGCCATCATATAGCAGCTAAATATAAAGCTCAACAGATAAGATGATCAAAGTGAAAATACTACATCTCAGTAAAGCACCTCACACAAGCAAGAGAAGTTCTACTAAAAACACAATCAAAACTGCAAACCCACAATAACAGAACGTAATTCACAACAAAAAAGCATTCCAAACAAGAGCAAGTCTGACATATCAGAGAAGCCATAATACAGACACAAGTAAAATTTCAGTCTTTCCCAATTGCAGAACTCTCCTAAGTCAAAATACAATAAACCCAAAAAAAAAAAAAAAAAAAAAAAAAAAAAAAAAAAAAAAAAAAAAAAAAAAGAGCAAAAGAATCACAACAGTGTTATCTCCCCAGTCAGATAAAGATTGGAGAAGAAATCGACAGTCCACCGATAATCCGATTGTTACGAGTAATCCAGTTTTCAACGTTAACAACAGTACAACACCCAGATCAAATCAACAAAGAAACATAAAGCTACGTGAGATGGGTATGGGTAAATATCAGATATACTGCAACTTCAAAGATCAAAGCTATATCGATCCGATCCGATCACTAACTACTTTGGCGGACCAAATTTAGCGAAAACAGTAGAAAATCAGGAGATCGAAGCCAATCAAAAAGATCAAACAAATCGGATAACAAACAGATACATTAGATACCATTTCACACGAAAAGACAACAAGGAAACGCTTGGTTTTACCTCAGAGCACCCCTTGAAAGACTGAGAGAGAGTGAAGTATGAAGTCAAAGTGATAGAGCGCAGCGCAAGGATGAATATATGTAACAAAGAGGGAGTGATTTCTGGATTTATGGGCCGTGCGGGGTAGGTGGCTATTGCGGTGATGAAACCTAGTCACCTACCTCTATGATGTTGCTGCACGCGCTTTAACTATGCCCGCGAGGTTTACGTGGAGAGTTCCGCGAGTGCCTTTCATCTACCTCACAAATATAATTTATGATTAATATTTTTTGAAGGGATAATTTATGATTAATACGGAGTATAATTTAGTATAAGTTGAGAAATTTAATGTATTTATAAAAAGTAATATTTTTTAATTCAAAATATTAATTGATAGCCTACCGTTAACGACTTCGCGAGGAATACAAACAGTTTGTTGATTGTTAAACATGTTTAGTCCAGAAACATCGGCTATATAATTAACATTAATTAAAATAGATTGTCGCCTTATGCGAACTTTCTAGTCCGTATCACTGTATAAATCTTGGGCTGGGCCGCTGGGCTTCAACAACGACAACAAGACTGAATTATAATTATTATATATTTAATAATCAGAATAAATAAATCAAGCCAATTTATTTATAATTAAACACTTAATAATCGGAATAAATAAATCTCACCATGAAAAGATTCAAATGAATGTGTTCATTTGGTAAAGAATGAAAACCTTAGTATTGCACCAAAAAATGCAGGACGCAGGTTAAGAATTTTTTTATTAAAACCCTCTTGGTCGGTGTCAAAAAAGAAAAATACAGAAATAGTCAGAAGTAAAGCTAAGAATGACCGCAGTTCAGTTCAAACTAAACCTTCAAGTTTATCATTTCCCATAAATATGAACCAGCAGTTCAGAAGCTCAGAATTAAAACCAAACCTCCCATATATATCTTAAAGTTACAAGTTTTTTGCTCATTTACCAGAAATGTGAACCAGCAGTTCAGAATTAAAACCAAACCTCGGTGAACATGATTCTCATGAGTTTTTTGCTAACACCTTTTTGGTCGGAGGCTGACCAGTGACCACCCACACGGTAAAATTTCCCATTCAAATTCTACATTCCAAGGATCGGATGCTGAATTATGGTACCGAATCCAAATACCAGCACAGAATAATTGCAATCAAAGTAAGCTTAAAAGACCAAAACGTTTGAAGAACACGTAATAATCTTAGGATTTATGATGATTACAGTTCTGATGAACCAACCAGAAGAAATATGAAATGATATCTCACCTCAAATTAAGCAAAACAAGCTGTGAATACAACAAAGTTTGAATAGACCGAGAACATATTAAGCGAAAGACATATGGCGAGATCTAATAATATCCTAGTTTTGCCAAATCGGAAGATGGAAGTTAATCTAATCTTTCTTGGCTATGAGCTCCTCAATCAAATCTGCAGCATCTTGAACTGTTGCAATGGTCTGAGCACTGTCTTCTTCCACAGTGATTCCAAACTCTTCCTCAAGTCCCATAACAATTTCAACCTGAAAATGAAACGAGCGCCATAATCAGAAAACAAAAGGCAATCGCAAGCAGGGTGGAAGCAACTAGGAAAATCATCTGTGCAAAAAGAATTTTCAGAAGAAAACTTAATAAACTGCAAACTAATCTCTGTACAATCTCTATCCACTCTCATCAAGTGACAATTTGTGCACATAGAACATAACAATGGAATAAAAAAGATAGCTGCACTAGAGTAATGGTGACATACTGTGTCAAGAGAATCAGCACCAAGTTGTGCAAACTTCGAGTGTCCAGCAACCTCAGTACCCTCGGGGAGAGCCAATTGCTTCTTCACAATGTCACAGACTTTGGTGACAGTCTCAGGTTTAGCCTAGCAAATAAATAAAGGCGAAAAGAACAAATGTTTAATCACACTTAACCATAATGCAGGATCATAAAGACCTTGAGTATGTTGTTTTCAGCAAGCAGACTTGTGGGGGAAAACTACAAAGTATTTGTTAGCAGCAAAAGCAATAGATCATAAGAGAAAAATAAACATCCTCCACGAAGGGAGCAAGAAACAAATCACTCTAATCCTAAAATCATTGACAATACAAACATTTCAACAACAATACATTGCCTTGTCTCCTATAATCACTCCCTTAAAGACATCAACAAATAGGCTAATAATTCTGCTATTGCTAGAAAATTCAACAAGGCATGATTAGTTTAATAACACTATAAACCAAGTGAAACCAGTATCTCAGGTGAACAAACACATAACGACTAAAAGCACAAGCAAATAGCTAAAAGACATCACATATGCTAGGCAAACAGTTCTACACAGGACCAATAAAACAGGACATGAATGATGAATCCAAAGAAACCGGGCATACCGCAGCGGCAACAACAAGTCGACGAGTAGTTGGCTGCACTCGGAGAGACGGGAAGCTGTTTCCATTGAAGGAAACAGAGAAAGCCTTAACATTAGCTGCCCTGCTAAACCCCTGCACAAAGAAAGCACATATTCAGCAATCATTACAACTAAACAAATAATTCCGCCAAACAAATCACAACACATTAACGAACATCCAAACAAGCAAATCGCAACACAATCGAATATCAAATCAAACAAACTACAATTAAAAACACTGAATCTCCGCAGCACGTGCTCGGTCGGAGTTCATAAACATCAGATCATATAGCAAACAGAAAAGTGCAAATCAATCACGTCATATCAGCTCCGTGGAAACGAACGAAAACAAGCGAGAAGAGTCAAACCTGGCTTTGCTTGACGGAAACGGAGAGAGAAACAGATGATCCAGTTACCGACGCCATTGACGGATAGCTGGAGGACGGATCTGAGAATTGCGGAGAGAACGAGAGGGAGGCGGAGAGCACGAAGAGTGTGCTTGTTGTGTAGTGAGAGAAAGAGTTAGCGAGGGTTGAGAGTATAGTGAATTTGCCGAAATGAAACCCCTGCGGCGTTTTATAGAGTTGTTTTTTTTTTTTTTTTTTTTTTTTTTTTTTTTTTAATTTGGTATTTTTCCCTTCGTTTTGTACGTGTGAGAGTTTGTTGATCGTTGGGGCTGACTGGGCGGGCCGTCGATACAATCGAAGTTTTTTTTGAATGTTTGGTTGCCAGCTTCAAGAATAAGACGAACTTGACGGTGGATTGCGGGCAAGGCAAAATTACATGTACGCAAAATTACATGTTTAAATGAGTTCTACTACATAGACTCCCAAATTATACTTCTTAAATTTTATTTTCTGCTGTGGTAGATATTGATTGACTATTTTTTCATGTGAATTCGAATACAAGTGTATACATCAAAATTTTGTATGTGAGATAAAATAGAAGTGCATGTAATATTTTCCTAGTCAAATTTGTATACATTATACAAGCCTTTACACAATTTTTAATTTTAAAAAGATGAACTAAAAACTATTTAATCAATTGTCTCAAAGACTCAAAACTATTTCAATTTTACGCAATTTACTATAACTTTTCGATTTAGAACGTTAATTAATTACAGTATTAACATGACAATGATTCGTAGGAAAATGTTGTTGTGCATTTATAGTTGTATTATAATATTAATAAATTTTGTGGAAAGTTAGTTCCATCCACTGCCCCTGCCCTGCCTAACGCCGTCCGATATAGTCATTGCCTGCCTAGTGCCTACATCCATTGGCTGTTTTTTTTTTTTTTTTTTTTTTTTTGGTTTTTAATATATTTTCTTAATTCTTGCGGATAAATCAGTAATCAATATTTGAAAGTGTACTGATCAAACTATATTTTAATGTAACAGCACATAAATCACATAAAATAAATAATTTACACTGAAGACTTAGAGCGACACTTTTGGTCTCACAACTATAATGTCACATTAGTATTTGATTTTCGAGTATTGTTTTTGTCACATTTAGTACAAGATTTTCATGATTTTGCCACATTTAGTCCTTTCAACCAAATTATTGGTAGAAAACAATCAAATGCATCACATTTTCACTTCAAAGTCAAACACTTATACACAAAAGTATTGAGATGTTTAAGTTGGTATGATTTTGAGTTGAAAATGTAATGAATTGTAGTCATTTTCAATCAAAAATTTAGTTAGAATGGTTAAATGTGGGGAAAAAAAAAAAACATACACCAAATGTGACAAAAGTTATAGTTGATGAACAAATGTGAAACTGTGAAAGTAACTTAATATCCGTATGACCAAAAATGAAAATAGCTCTTTATTTTATTTGTTTGGTGCAACAGGGGACCTATGGGTCCCCATCAAGTGATTCTTTGCGAAGTAGCGCCACTCGCGTCGCCCTGAAGGAGTTCCCTTAAGCAACTAATGATGAGGTGAATTGTACAAGATAGTCGAACCAAAGTCTCCATTTTGCCCAAAGTTTGTGAGTCTGTCAGCACATTTGTTACCTTTTCTCCATACATGAAAAATTTTCACTATCTCCAAGCTTGCGGTCATCCTTTTGCAATCGCCCACCATGATATCAAGGTCTTGGGTGACAAGGAAATTTTTTTGTCATTGCCTAGACAACCGCATTTGAGTCCAATTCTACCACCACCTTGTTCCAAAATTCAAAATAAATCTTTAAATTTTTATATGATCACACGTTACTTTGATCGATTAATTAGAATTATACACTAAGACTAATGAATTATAATTCAAGATCTCTGTTAAGTTGGAAGAGACTAACGTTATCTCATTTAAATCCATTGCGTCTTAGTGATTTATTAATATATAATAAATTTTTAATTAATTTAATAATTAATCAATTAGAAAATGTATGTAAAACAAAATTTGTTATGTATGAGAGGTTCACATAAACAAATTATGCTATTAATTAAATAATAATAAAAATTACACTTTTGTTCTCTAAATTATTTTCGAGTTAAGAATGTAATCATTATCTTTCAATGTTTACAAATCTTGATATTTAATTGTTAAACTAGTTTTAAATTAAATTCATCAATCAACTGAGACGTTAGCCTTAGTTCTTATCCAAGTTTGTATACAAAATAGAGTTTTTTTTTTTTTTTTTTTTTTTTTTTTTTGAAATAAATACAAAATAGAGATTTGATTAGAAGTTACAAATATTCCGTCATAAAAGTGTAGATAAAAA